CGCCCGCTCAACGAGACCCACCCCCTGCACCGGGACCCCGCCCGCCTCCTGTCCCGCCGTTAATACGCCCGCCCACTTAGGCCGCTCCACAGCCGCGCGGCTGCTCCCGCCCGTCTCCCGCCGAGCCCCGCCCACCCTCACTGCCCCCACCCCGCCCCATGGCTGGAGCGTCTCCGCACTGCGCATGCGGGCCCCGCTCCGTTCGGCGGCCCGGGGCGGCCTCCGCAGCCATGTCGGCGCGGGGCCCGTTCCGTAGCCCGCCCTCCTTCCCGCCGCCCCTGCGCTTCGGGCAGCAGGCCGTGTTCGGCCAGGGCGGCGGCCCCGCCGGCTTCCCCTTTACGCCCGCCGCCACCTTCGCGCCGCCCTACGCGCTGGGCCAGGCTCCAGCCCCGGCGGGGAACGCGGGATTCAGCTTCAGGCCGCCCACCAGCCTGGGCGGCTTCCCGACCTCCAGCGAAGCGCCGGGTGGCGGCGGCGGTGCCTTCGTCGCTCCCGAATTCCGCTTCAAGGCACCCGAGAGCGCCGCCGCCTTCAAGCCAGCGTCAGGCAGCGAGGTGGAGAAGGGCCCGGCTGCCCCCACCGCCTTTGCTTTCTCGTCGCCCTTCGCCTTCGCGTCTGAGACGGGCCCCGAGGCGGCGGTGGCGCGGGAGCCCTTCTCGTTCTTACGTCCCGCCGCCGCTCTGGGGCGGCCGGAAGAGAGAGGTGTGAGGGCGCCGCCGGAGGAGCCGGGGGAGCCGCCGTCCAAGGGGCTGAAGCGGAAGGAGGAGCGGGAGCGCTCGCCGCGGCGGGCGGCGGCGGCGCCGGGCGGGCGGGCGGCGGCGCCGCCGGAGAAGCGGGCGGTGATGCTGAGCCGGCCCCGCGGCGGGATCCTCTTCGGCCGCACGCTGGAGGAGCTGCTCCGCAGCCAGGCCCGCGAGCAGCGGGAGCGCGGGGACGTTCCCGAGGCCGAGCGAGGACCTGCCGAGGAGCCGCCGCCGGCCGAGGCTCGGGAGCCCGCCCGAGAAGGTGGGCGGGAGCCCGGTGGGGAGTAGCCCTGCCGCCCGGTGTCTCCCTGCTTGCTGACTCCTGTCGTGTTCCTTCTCGTCACAGATGCGGCCCCCACCGCCCCTGCTTGCCGAGGCCGCGGCAGCGAGAGCGCGGAGGGGCTGGGGGGCCTGCCAGCCGCCGAGCTGACGGCTGTCCAGTGCAAGAACATCCCGGACTACCTCAACGACAGGACCGTGCTGGAAAAACACTTCGGCCAGTTCGCAAAAGTTCGGCGGATCATGACCAGGCGTAATAAAAAAATGGCTGTTCTCCACTTTTTTGATCACGTGAGTATCAGAAGTGGCATAGCTCTTGGAAGTTTTCAGCCTGGAGAAGTCTCCAGGGATACCTTAGACCCCCTTACAGTGTCTAAAGAGGGCTTACAATATAGAGGGAAACCAACTTTTTATAGGGACAGTCTGGAAGAGGACAAGGAGAAACAGTATAAACTAACAGAGGATGTTAGGAAGAAATTTTTTGAAGGTGATGAGGCCCTGGCACGGGTTGCTCAGAGAAGCTGTGGCTGCTCCATCCCTGGAAATGTCCAAGATCAGGTTGGATGGGGCTTGGAGCGGCCTGGTTTCGTGGAAGGTACCCCTGCTCAAGGCAGGGGGCTGTAGCTGAATGGCAGGTCCCTTCCAACCCAAACCATTCTATGATACTATGAAGAAAGACTTAAATCTGAGCACTTGGGGTCGGTCCAGCACTAATGAAAACTACACTCTTGTTTGTAGAAAAGCGACAGTTATTTTGTGGAGAACAATTCAGCTGATTGCATGTAAGTCTTAACTGAAGTTAAAATACAGCAACCAGAATTTTTTGGGAATCGATAAATGTTTCTGTGGCAAAAACTGTGCTGCATGTTTGGGTGTTACGATGCCAATAGGTTTCCATGCTCTGCCTTTGTTTCCTTTCAGGCCTCTGCAGTTCTTGCCAGAAAAAAAGCGAAAGAGTTGCACAAAGACATAGTAACATTCTGGCAAAAGAAGAAAACAAGTAAGTCTGTGTTCCCAGACTACTGAATGATCTGTAAGTAGCTTGCCAGCTGCTCTTTTTTTTCCCTGATGTCCTGAGGATGATACCTAAATTATCTCTTAGTAGGAGATACCATGGTTGAATCCTTAATGTAGTCATACAATAGCAATATGGTGATGTTCATCCTTGTGCTTCTGTCCAGAAGTAGGATGTTCTTTGGGGGTGTAAGAAAATCCAATCTGAAATGCCTTAAATGCCTTGTTCCCTGCCACAGATCATGGACTGGGATGGGGACTTCCAGCTTTCAGGAGAAGGTTCTGAGAACCAACCTAAGGAAAGTGTCCTGAGGTTCTCTGCCGTGTCTGCTGAGGTTGCTGTTCTATGCATCAATAGTTAGACACCGTTTGAACCAAAGAAAAAGAGAACAACCTACAGAGTTTAGAAGTGGGAAACCTGGATTCCAGACCCTGCTTGGTATTAGGGCAAGAGGAGATTATTCAGTCTCCAAGGAAATACTTACAATGTCAAGTACTTCCCTTTCTTTAGCTCCATGAGTGCAGTGTGTGTGCCTGTGAGAGCCTAGCCTGTGCGTGCACTTTAGCTGCCAGCACATGGATGGTTCACCTCAGCTTTGACCAACCACAGCCTTGCCTCCCAGAAGACAAATAGTTGCTGAGTTGTCTCCCCGAGAATTAACATCTTGAAGCAGCAGCTCTAGGGCTGCCTCTTTGCTAATGTCATTTTATCATGGTGTTACGTCTGTGGCAGCATTCTGAAATAACTATTCTGGGAGGGTTCAAGAAATCCAGCTGGTGGAAAAATTGTCTCTGGAAGAAGAAATTCTCCCTTCCTGCTGGTGCTAATTCATGCCAACCTGAGTCTAAGCTTGGATATGTGAAAAAAAGTACTTTCAGTAGGAGCACTTGTAATTGTGGTTTATGCAGGTGAAATGGATTTCGTATCCCATAGGGAGTTATGACCTGTGGATTATATCGTAAACCTGAAAGAACTGTGATTCAGTTGAGGATTAGACTTCATTTACTGCTAATTACTGTTGTTGCTAAGTAATATTGTCTTGAAAGATGCTTATTCTTTATAGAACAATGACCTTGATAGCAATTGGTGGAAACTTGGTACAGCTCCTAGTGCAAGTTGATGTGGAAGTTTTGCATGCATGTACAAAACTGGGAGTCTCAGTTTTCATCACCACCTCCATGGAGTCAAGAAAGAGCTCTTGCTTAAACTACTTGGCAGGTACCTGGTTTCATACTTATATGTAATTTCAGGTCCAGCAAAAAGAGAATTTTCATCCAAGGAGAAGAAAGCAGGTGAAGATGAAGGAAGGCAAAGCAGTGAAGAGCAAAGCTATCAGCATTCCCCTCTTAGAAAACCTTTAATAAGATCTTCTGCTAGCAGTGTCATGCCTGGGAGAAGGTATGTCCTATCCTCTGGGAATCCATCTGGCAGAAAATGGGGAGCTTGGAGAAGAATGGTGGTCACTGTGTGCCAAATACAGTCACATTATCTTCAGGGAGGCTGCTTCCCTTCTTTTCTGAGTTGTCTGAATTAGAAGCACTCAGCTCTCACGCTTTGTCGGAAGGATATTCCTAATGGCATATTAGGGTTTTCTATTTTGGTGAAAGCAAAAGATTTTGTTCGTAAAAGCACCTGTAGTATGAGGCATGAGGGAAGCGAACAAACAGTACTGAGCCCAGCTAGGACTGAGTAGTAATGACACTGTTTGTGGTTGTGATTCAATGAGCTTCTCAAGCAAGCAGTTTCCTTTGGAGGCAATTAGAGCTCTGTGTAATGAGGGTCTCATTTTTGGAGTAGTTTGGATTACTGTCTCACTTCAAGTGATCAGGTTTGTGGTAGTCACAGAAGTGACAAGACTGTCATCGTTATCATACCTCAACGGTTTGTCTAGTCTGACAAAAGTAATTTGGTGTGTGTAATCATATAACTGTAAAATTAGCAATATGTTGTGAAGCAATCAGTATTCCTTGATTTAAAAAACACGTTTCTACTTGGCCCTGTAAAATCTTTAAATAATCTCTATTACTGTAGAAAACACATTGGGTTTATCTCTAGTAAGCCAGTTCCTAACTTAAAATACAAACTACTGTGCCATAGTGTTGCAAATGTTACAAGACTCATCCATTTTTGTTGCCTGTATGGTCTCTTTTCCTTTTCTGTTAGGACTTTCTCCACAATGCCAGAACTCTTGGCAGCATTGTCAGGGTAGTGCTGAAGATTTAACCAGATTAACCCCTGGGGCTGGTGTTAGCGAAGCACATCCATACATTGTTCATGTTTCCCTGTGAACAAAATACTCTTCTAAAGAGATGCTGGTATCCTAATGAACAGTGAACTGATTAAGACCAGGGTATGCACTAATGTATTATTGTTAATAGAAAAGTCTTCTGCTTTAGCTCCCCAGCAAAGAAGCCTGCCCTTCGAAAAACGCTGCAGTTTGAAGCAGAGCTGTTTGTTTCCAGTTCTGAAGGGCAGAGCTCGGAGGGCTTGGGGGCTTCGCTGTCATCACTCAGTAACCTGGTGGGATTGGTGGCTGAGACATCTGAAGAGAGATACAGGCTTTTGGACCAGAGGGACAAAATCATGCGACAAGGTAATT